AGAGAGAGAGAGAGAGAGAGAGAGAGAGAGAGAGAGGGATGGATGGATGGATGGATGGATGGATGGATGGATGGATGGATAAACACATAGAGACAGATATAGATGGATGAATGGATAGATAGATAGAGATAGTGATAGAGATGGATGGATGGATGGATGGATGGATGGATGGATGGATGGATGGAGAGATAGACAGACAGACAGACAGACAGATAGACAGATAGATAAAAAGGTAAAAAGTGGACTCAGTGGGAGACAATCCCATCTATGGCTTGGATTGGAGCCCTTCCTATGTGGCAAAGGACACAGTAGCCACCTCCCAGCCCTGCCGTCCCATCCTAAAACGGTTCCTCTCTGCTAATTCCAGGTGAACATCAAAGAGAGCTCTGCACGTTCCTCTGAGACCAGCCAGCCTCCCTCTGAAGTGGAGCAGAGGCATCTGTATGCCGTAATGAAGCAGGAAGACGATGAGGGGAATGCCAGGCCATTGGATAAGAAAAGGAGCCTCGGTAAGCTTCCGTTTGGGTGCCGTGATGCCCCTGGCTGAGCTAACCTTGGTTGCCAGCAATCAATTCTGTCTGGTAGATCTCTGGAATCTTTTATTCTAGGGCAGGAAGGGCGGACATTCAGCAGTGCAGGAAATCACATTACACTCCAAATTTTAACAACTTCCTTGCCTCTGCACATGCTTATGTCTTTGTTGCAGGATGAGCTCACCTTTCCTCTGAGAAAGTCTAACAACAGCTTTACTACCACCCTACACTGGCTCCCTTATGGGAGGAGCTCTTTTTCCTAGCTAGACATTGTAGGAGGACTGCTGTGTTAGTGTACGGTAGGCAGAAATCAGGAGTCTGGTGATGCTTTTTCCAAGTAACACATTTTATTAAAAGACATAAGCTGCAGATCAGGAGAGCTTATGGCTTTTAATAAAATGTGTTAGCTGGAAAAGACGTTATTTCTTTTATAATCATAGTTCTTTTGTGTTTTAGATGTAGATGGCCTTGCTCACGTCACTAAAAAAATAGATAAATAAATGTGTGTCCTTCATCTGAGGCACAGCTTCTCCCGCTGTTTCGATCTCTTTCTCTCTTTACTCCAGCGGGGGAAATGTGGGAGAGTGAAGATGAGGTGGATCCATGTAAGATGCCCTCAGAAATCAACCCTATCGAAGTACTGAAAGAAAACTTGTGGAAGCAAGGTGGATCAAACAGATCCGAGGGGATCCCCCTAGAGAAGAGGAGCGATGTCATCATCTCCTGCCAGGATGAAGATTTCCATGAAATCATCATTCAAGGACAACCAGTGGAAGAGAGAAAGAAACGGTGCCGGGGTGCCCGCTGGAGAATCCACCGAGGGGAAAAGCCCAACAAGAGTGTAACATTTGGGAAGAGTTTTCATCAGAACAGAAACCTTGCTGAGTATCAGCTTCCCCACTCCGGGGTGAAGCCGTACAAATGCTTAGAATGTGGGAAAGGTTTTAGTCAAAGCACCCACCTGACATCACATCAGAGGATCCACACAGGGGAGAGACCATACAGTTGTTCAAGCTGTAGCAAGAGCTTCAACCAGAGCACCAGCCTTATTCAGCATCAGAGAATCCACACCGGGGAAAAACCCTATCAATGCACCGAGTGTGGGAAGAGCTTCCGTCACAGCACGAGCCTGACCTCCCACCAGAGAATCCACACGGGGGAGAAGCCATACAAGTGCTCCGACTGCGGGAAAGGATTTTGTAATCAGTCGGGCCTCATTAACCACAAGACCATTCACACGGGCGAGAGGCCGTACAAATGCCTAGAGTGTGGGAAAAGTTTCAGCCAGAGCACCCACCTTACCTCGCATCAAAGAATCCACACCGGCGAGAGACCGTATAAATGCTCGGACTGTAACAAAACCTTTTGCGATCAGTCAGGACTCGTTAAACATCAGAGGATTCACACGGGGCAGAAACCGTATAAATGCCTGGCGTGTGGGAAGAGTTTTAGTCAAAGCACCAATCTTATTAGGCATCAGAGGATCCATACAGGGGAAGAAGCCCCCAAATTAACTTCTCCTTGTAATGCAACCGTTGAGTTCCAACTCCAAATGTCTGCCATTTCTAAGGCTTAGACGTTTTTCAGTTGCATGGATATTTTTTCAGCACTTGGTCTTATGTGGAGCGCGCTTGGGAAACGCCATGACTTGTGATTTTAACTGATTCGTTTTGTCTGCACGTTGTGATTAATTAGTTGTAATGATCGATCTTTGCTTATTTGATAGAAACAAGGTACATTGAGAATGGCCACAACTGAAGTTGAACAACAAGGACCAACAGCAAAGAAGATGTAGTTCTAACATCTGGAGGGCCGCCCCAAGGGAGGGAGTTGACATTTTGTGATGAAATTGTCAGCAAGTGGGTGAAATAGAACTTTTTTTTCCTAAAGGTACCTTAAAGAGTCTAGTTCTGTATTTCTCAACCTTGGCAACTTTAAGATGAGTGGACTTCAACCCCCAGAATTCCCCAGCCAGCCATGAAGTTGAAGTTGAAGCTGAAAGTGAAGTTGAAGTTCACTCATCTTAAAGTTGCCAAGGTTGAGAAACACTGGTCTAGTTAGAAGAATTCCCTTTAAAAAGACAGATTTGTTTTACACTCCCAACACAGCAGCCATACCTGCTGCTGTGTTATAAGAGGGAGTCTCTTCATCATTTGTCTATGGGGACAATAGCCAACAATTACAGTACAATCTGCAGAGCACTGTCTGTTCCCTCCAACACCCCCCACCCTGAAGCCACTCTTGAGCCTTCTAAAAATGGCCACCAACTTTGAATATGCTAGAACAGTGTTTCTCAACCTTGACAACTCGAAGATGTGAGGACTTCAACCCCCAGAATTCCCCATGGCTGGCTGGGGAATTCTGGGCGTTGAAGTCCACACATCTTCAAGTTGCCAAGGTTGAGAAACACTGTGCTAGAAGGAAGAAACAATTCAATACATTGGGAATAAACATGAACTGTATTGAACTAATTAAATCTCCATTAGGTATTATTTTTATCCTGGCTTTTCACCCACATCTTTAACCTGGCCCCACCCATCTGCTGGCTTGCCTCTCTCAAGTCCATGCTAGTCCTGGCTCCACAGCTTGTGCTCATGGGGGTCTTTTGGCCAGTCTGTCTCCCAGCCCCAGAGTCAAGGGGGAGTCATGAAGAAGGGGCTAGACTAGCAGTGGGGAGACCCAGAATCTAGTCCCCCCAGCTATAGAAGCTTCCTGGGGGGACTTTGGGCCACCCCCTCCCTCTCAGCCCAACCGATCTCACGGGGTGGTTTTGAGGAAAAATAAGAGGAGAGGATGCAATCTATGAATGAAAAATAGGATAGAAATCATGAAAATAAAGGTTCGGCCTCAGAAGGTTTGTGAGAAGCGAGGTGAAG